TAATAAGAATTTAATGCTATTGTAAATTGTAGATTTCAGTTTAAAAAATAATTTTCAATTATGTGAACATTTCTGTGATCTTCTAAATCCTATGAATCTGTCACCTGGTCTCAAGAGCCCTATTTTTCTTCAAAAGAACCATTGGTTGATCAGAATTATGTTTTTAAGTGGGATATTTTCTTTTAAAATAGATAAATTTAATTAAGTCATCTTTTGGCATTCTGAAAAACTTTGATCTACCAAAAAGTGATAGACTTATTCGTACACTTGTGCTTAATTTTCCATAAATGGTTTGTGTAGATATTTATTCTCATTCTAATAACATGATATAATCTTCTTAATTACTACACACACAGTAAGTACAAAGAAGACACATTAGTATGCTTTCACCAGAAAGTTTTCATTATGTCAACATTATTCTAAAATATATCTACGGAGTTTGGGGTGCAGTTCAATGAAAGAACATGTGCTTAGCATGCATGCTGCCGCAGATCCAGTGCCCAGCATAAAAACAAGAATACGTGAGTAAATTCTTCATATGAATGTAAATGAGACTTAAAGAAATGAGAACAGTTCTCTAAACATGAATTACAATAAACTTATGTTATTAAAACTATCGGGGGCTGGAAAGATGACTCGGTGCTTAAGAGCAAATATTCTTCTGAGGTCCCCAGTTCAGTTCCTAGCACCCATGTCTGGTGGCTGGAATCAAGACTTTAATCCCAGCTACAGGGAGCTCCAATGCCCTCTTCTGGTGGCCATTTGTAGCCACACAGAGAGAACTAATATTAATTAAGTAGTAGATAGTATAACTTAAATATTTGGTGAAATTCAGCTGCTTAACCATTTGGTCTTTGGCTTTTCTTTGATAAAAGACTTCTAAATAACTGACACTTACTATTGTCCCATCAAGTTTCTTCAAAAATTTGTCTAGGTTATAAAATGAGTTGCCATATGTCTGTTCATTATATTCTTTCACCATCCTTTGTGTTTTTGTAGTGTCAATTGCAATGTCTCCATTTTCATCTCTGATTTTTTGTTTTTCTTTTCCTTTTAGTAAAGAACTGTTCTTGGTTGCATTCATCTTTTATGGGCTACTCGGCCTCTTAATTGCTTGTTTCTGTCCTACTAGTTGTTTTCATCTACTAATTTTGAACTTGGTTTGCTCTTGTCCTCTTGGTCCTTCAAAACATAATGACAGACTTTATTTTGGAGCTTTATGTTTTTAGTGGCAGTATTTATTGCTATAAATTCCCTTCTTAGTACTGTTTTTGCTGTATCTCATAGATTCTTGAGTGTTGCGTTCATTTTCATTTGTTTGATAGATTTTTTCTTGATTTTAATCTTTAATTGATTGCTCAAAAGTAGGTTGCTTATGTTTAAATTTTCTGTTTCTTTCTTTTTTAATATATGGTCTAATGTACCCTAGGGTGTCCTCGAACTCACTTCATTGGCCAAGGCAGCACTGAACTCGAGATCTCACTTAAGCTTACCAAGTGCTGGGATTGCATACTAGTGCCACCACACACAGCTTAATTTTTCTGTGTTCTACTTGCTATGTTTTATTTTGATTTTTACCAGAATGTAGATCTTCTCCAGCTACTTTCTTATTCTTCTGATTAAAATTTCAGTCTCTGGTATCATAGTTTTGCTTTCAAACAGTTCATTCATTCTCTATGAATGTTTCTTTTTTTAGCAACCTTTAAGTTTTAAATTTTTGATGATATTTAATTAATGTGATTTTAGTCTAGTTGTTTGCATATATGTATATATGTGTGTTTAATTATTACCACTATCAAAATTAAGAATGCTTTCATCACCCCTAAAACAAACTTGATGTCAATTAACAAACCACACACACACACACACACACACACACACACACACACACACATCACAAAAATACACAATGTAAAAAGAAAAAAAAAAACACAGGAGAGAGGAGGATTTTTTTCATTCTGTACATTTCATATACATAAAATCTTATTATGTGTAGCATTTTGTGTCTGGCTTCTCTCACTTAGCATAATGTTTTCAAGGTCTAGCCTGTTATGACATACATCAGAACTTAACTCATTTATGTAACTCATATTATATTGGATGAATGTACCATACTTTTCTCATTAGACTTTGGAAACTTTGGATATTATAAATAATGATGCGATGAACACTTGTGTACAAGGGGTTTTTGCACATATGTTTTTAATTCTTTTGGCATATGCCTATGATTAGAATTTCTGTGGTACAAAGTGACTATATCTTTGTTTGTTTTTAAGATAGGATTTCTCTGCGTAACTCTGGCTGTCCTGAAACTCACTCTGTAGACCAGGCTGGCCTCAAATTCACAGACATCCACCTGCCTCTGCCTCCAGAGCGCTGGGGTTAAAGGTGTCTGCCACCACAGCCTGGATAGTAATATCTTTTGAATTATTGTCAAACTATTTTTCAAAGAGAATATTCCATTTGAATCATTACTTCAACTTTCTTAAGATATATTCTGAGAACCAAATTCCTTTGAAAGAGCAACAAGTGCTCTTAACTACTGAGTGATTTCCCAAACCACTCCTAAAAGATTTTTAATGAAAACATTTTTATTGAGTATACTGGAAAAGGACAAATGGGCTGGGTTGGAAGTATAGAATCACTTGTGCATTATACAAATAGGGCAAAGAACATCTTTCTACATTCAAATGATAAAATTTATTTTCATGTAGTTCCCAGGTGTGTAATTAGGAAGGAGAACAGTCCATATTACCTAGTGTACATTCTTGGATGTCAGTATGAACTACAGTGAATGTAACCTCCAGTTCTAATTTGAGGCTCAACATAGGGCTGTAGGCTTCATACTGCTTTGTGGTGCCAGTACAGTCTGGCATGCCCTGGATTGGCTGCCATCACCATTGCCAGGAGAGTCTGGAAATTTGTAGGGAGACAAACAAGAGATGGGAAAACCCAGTTGCCACCATGCCCAGGAAGCTAAGTTTGATTTCCAGGTCTTGCATACATTAAGTATTCAAACTCCTTGCAAGTTGTCCTCTGACAACCATTCAAATACCATGGCATTGTGGGTGAGCACACATAAACCGTAGCCCAAAGAGGGAAGACTGACAACTTATTGACTTCACTACTTTCATAGAGTGAGGAGAGATGAAGTCAAGACTGGACTGCTGGTCAACCTATTTCTTTGGAGGAGAAGGGGGAAGAGGAGGGATGGAGAGGGAAGAGGGAGGAAGAGGAGACGTTAAAAGGAGTAGTGATGCCAAAGGTTTCAAAGAAGGACAACTGGTAGATCTTGTCACATGCCAGAAGTGGTTAAGTGTCCCCTACAGCTAATGAATCTTACTCTTGAGGAGGAGAGGGAGAGGGAGGGGAGAAGACCTCCTCAGACATTTTTACATCAAATTTTACATTAGTTCTTCCATCATAATTTCTCCATTCATCTATAGTTATAGTTAGCTGAACTTCAGCCTTAAGTAGTTAATTTCAAAAAATACTCATGAATACTGATATAACGTTTACTGTTTGCTGAATTATTTTCTCTGTACTTGAACAATATAAATTAGGTAAATTATTGAGCCAAAATTGCTTTCCTTCACATCATTCCTCAGGTACATGTGTATAAAATGTTTCTTAGAGGTCTGGAGCCTCTGTTTTTTGTTTTTGGTTTACTTGTAGGCCAAACCCAGCAAGTACTTTGCCACTGAGTACATTCCCACAACCAACTATCTTCCTTTTATGGTTATTATTGTCAATTTAACAGGATCTAGACTCACTTAGGATACAAGCCTTCAGGTACCTCTGTAAGGTGTGATACAGGTTAAGTAAGACTTTGAGGATTCCGGTTGGGAGATTATATTAATTGCATTAATTGAGCAATGAAGACCTGCCCACTGTGGGTAGCACAATTCTGTTCCTAGGATCCTGGATTAGATAAGGGAAAAAAACAACAAAGCTGAACGGAAGCATTCTTCTGTTCCTCTCTGTTTCATCGCTGTGGGTGTCATGTGACCAGCTGCTTCAAGCTCCTGCCACCTTGACTACCCCACCATGATGGATGATAACCTGGAAATGTGAGCACAAATAAACTCTCTTGAGTTGCTTTTGTCAAGGTATTTTGTAACAGCAACAAGAAAAGTAACTATGACACTCCATTTTCTATTTGAAAATTATTACCTTTTCTTTTAGGGTGCTTATTCATTTGTTCTTGTGTCTGACACTTACTAACTGAGACATCTCCCTAGCCTTATGCATGTATTTTTATGAGTATATGCTGTCTGTGTGTGCACAGCGTATGTGTAGAGCTCATGAAGACCAGAAGGGGCATCAAACCCCCCTGGAACTGGAGTTACCGGTGTTTGTGAGTCTTCTGATGGGGGTGCTTGGAACTGAGTCTGTGTTCTCTTCAATATAGCAAAAGATCTTAATGACCAAGCCACCATTCTAACCACCTATGATTGTTATATTTTCTTTAGAACTCAGAATACCCTTTCAATATGACACATTTTTTGAATTATGCCATTTATATAGTAAGTATAATGGTCTATAACTTGTCTGGTATTTCCAATATCTGAAGTTGCTGTGGC